TTGGCCTTGTGGAGCCTCATGAGGTGCACATGGGGCCACTGATGCTAAGTATAATAACAGCAGTTACATCAGAATTATTGATTGCCTAATACCAAGGTTGTGGAAAACGTTATTTATGAGAAAAGTTGGCCTTTTGTGGCCCCAGATTACTACACATGCTTTTATTTGCCTTGCTGATTTTCTGCGTGTAGTGACTGAAGTTGTATTTTCCCGGTTGTTTATCTTTTTGATTGCAGAAGTAAGAACATTTATATGATCTGTAACTAAACCTGCCAGGGAAATTTGGCTTGTGCATCCATGCCCACTTTTCTTGTCTCAAAGTTAACTATTTATATAACTCTTCTTGTATTTCACATTTCAACGTGCAGGAACTTGTAGGGGACAGTTTTCTAAATACAGAGAGTGAAAGATTTCTACAGATGCATGGCAAAACATACCAGTGCATCTCAACAATCCACGGTGGCAGGAAAGTGTTTGTGTGATAACTTTAGAGGCTACCTAGAGCAGAGGCTAGACAGTGTTAAAGGAATAAAGGTATTTATTAAAAACACCTTCAAAAAATACACCTTGGGCCATACAAGAGCCCAGCCGTGACTACATCCAAGATGGACAGCTGCTCATGAGTTGAGTTTTGACACTTTTATAAGTTTTGGTCCATTTACATATTAGGGTTCATTGTCTAATTTCAGCTTCAGGTTATGAAGTCCCATCCTCCCAGACTGCTCTCCTGAATTTGCTGTTGTTGACACTTTTTGGGCCTGAGGTTGCAAAGGTGTCCTTGGTTCTCAGGCTGGAAAAGGATTCTTTTGTCTGACTAAACTGAGAACTTGCTAACACTTTATATGGTGTTCAGAGTTGTATACTAATGCACTACAGAATCTGGAAAATATGACAGCTAAAACTTAAGGCATCATGTGAACAAAAGGATGTGGAAAAATCTTTTGAATTCTTTGCAAATTATTGTCAACTGAGTGATTTAGACATGAGTTTAGCAGACCCAACCAAATAGTTTCCAAAGGTAAACTTCTTAAAGTCAATTCAGTCCTGATCCGTCTTTCTTGCTCATAGCAACAATTTGGTGTTCAGGGCCCTCCTTCTCAATTCCTTTACAGGAAAAGGGGTATGCTGGGTGAGTAAAAGAGACTGACTGTTCCTCAGAGAAGCACAAACAAATTGTATTGAGGATGACAGGGGGTCGTAACACTGTGCCAGATTTGGGAAAGAGCTGAGAGCAACAGTGTGACGAAAGGGAGATGCAAGATGATGTTACCCCCATGTGTGTAGCCTGGCTTCATGCCACAGCCAGACTAAGATCTCATGGGAGAAGACAGACCCACAGCATATTTATCTCACAAGTACAATCAGAAACCAGAATCTGTCCCAGAAGTGTGTCTATCAAGGGTAGTGAAAATAAAGTAGTGGAGATTATTCAACATTACATCAAATTTGAGACCCTGTAGTGAATAGCTGCATAAAAATTCATATGCACAGAAATAACCCACCCCTGGCTCATAGTTGCTTGTTTATGAGCAGACTTGTTTCTTAAGTAAAGCAATTCAAACTCTGATGACTGCTGAGAGTGGCAGGAGTTGATGAGATCTCCTCTGAAAATCTCTTCATAGTCTTTGGTAATTACTGATAAAGGCAGCTTTGGCAGGGGTTTGCTGTTCATTCTGGCATGGATTTTTGCAAGGCTTCTAACTCTAGCTGAGCACAAATACACATCTACTTGAGGCCTTTGAGGGGGGGACTTGAACTAAGTCCGTCTACAAACTGGAGCCTGGAGAAATAAATACCAGGGGTTTGGGTTGTTTACATTAAGAGAAGAGAATATTTTAATATATTATAAGTTGTTAACCTCTTTCAGAAACTTTACTGGAAACAAGTGACTAAGTTTAAGGAATGAAACATGATTCCCAACAGTATGCTTTTCTTTCATATTCACATGATAATAATTCCCTGTCAAGCCAAACCCTCAGCTACCTTTTTCCACTGAAAAATCCCCTGCGGTGTAGATAACAGAGACAGCTGAAGTACTGCTTACTTCTCCCACTCTTTCTGTGCTCTTCAAGATGAACTGGGCATATCGGTTGACTTCTGAGTTTTCCTGCTGGCTGTGTGTACTCCTTGTTGGTAGGAGTTGCCATTTATATCCTGAAGAGATCAGAGGATAAATGATGACTGTATCTCACAACACGGGCTCAGTAGTCTGCCATGATCCTTCCTTGCATGCTGAAGGCTCAGTGCTGTGGAATTCTGCACAGTGTCCATGTGAGATATGCGTGCAAATCCCATGAGTTTGAATTCCAAAGTAGTTGCTTGTGCTTAAGAGAATCTGAAATACTGTTCTGAGGTAGGGTAGATCCGAAACACAAACTGCTATGCAAATCTATTGTGCAAATATATAATTTCATATATTTTCATATATCATCATGTATATAAAGGCTGAAAGCTGTTACCTGCTTTTGGCAGGTGTGTGATAATTGGGAAACTACTGAGTGTAAACAACCAAGCTCCAAAGAATGTTCTTTCTGAGGAAACAAGGGGAATTTTCCAAGAGTGTTTCCTAGTCTTCATGAATCATAAGAGCACTAGCTGCATCCAGAATTGCTCATTTTATCTGAACGTCCCTGGCCATTAGCCAGAAGAAGAAAAATTGGGTAAAATAATGGAATAATTGTTTTTTCATATATCTAATGAAATAACCTATTATTTTCCCTAACACGGAGAATAAGTGAAAATTAAGTAGTTTTGGTTTTTTTAATTTCAAAACAGATAATATGAAGAAACCATGAAAAGAAGAAGAAACTGAGAGGCAAATGATAGAAAGGAAGCTGAAGTTTTCCTAGATGTTCAGTGGTTCTAAGATTAATCAGTTACAGTAATAGAAATTGTGCTAATAGCAAGTCTGTGTCAAGCAAAGTAATGTTTGATGGTTTGTGTGGCATTTCTGAGAGACACATGGGGCAGGTATCAAGCCTGATGAACAAGCTTTTCAGTGTGGTAAGTGACACCTGCACTAGGGCTGCCTGCATTCTGCATAATTTACCTCTTTATTTACTATCTATCATTAGCAAAGTACCTTTATTGAATGCAATATAAGCAGGTTTCCACAGCATTTTTCCGAGCTGACTGATATTGCTTGGGAATTACTGGAATCGTGTGGGTGGGAGTGTTGCTTGGGTGTTTTGTTGTTGTTACTGGGTTTTTTAGTTGGGTTTTTTATTTCATAGTCTATTATGGATATAATTTTTGTTATTGTACTGCCCAAACCAATTTTTTTCTACTGCTAGGTACACTGTGCACATTTTTCACTTCTGTGCATGGCTGAGATAAGAACTCATTGGAGTTAAATATACAATGCTACAAAATCACTGAATTAGTGATAGTATCTAATAGAAATGTCCCTATCACAGTGATAGTGATTAGTGATATTTCTGTTATGCTTTTAATATAATTTTTATATGCCAAATGCTACACAACAGAAAGTGTTATCTTTCCGCTTAGATTTATTGGGAAAATATGATGAAGTTTATTTACTTGTTTGTCTCCTCTTGTGGTCATTTAGACATATGGTGTGTAAATGACTACTGGATGAATTTCACAGTTAAGTCTTGTGGATAACGAAGACAGAGAGGATGACTTCAATAACTTAAAGAAAACTTGTTCAATTAATTTTAGAGTTAACTCAGTGTAGGAAAAGTTCCTCTGCTGTAAAATTTTTTTTTTTTTCAAGTGAAGAAAAATCAGTGCAGATGCTGCTGTCCTTTCCCTTGGATATGGTTCAAAATGGTTTGGATTTTAAGAATCAGGCTTGACAGGCATTTATTCCTGAAGGAATGTGTGCTTAAGTTGTGGCCTAAAAAAAAGAAGGGGGAGAGGGAAGGTTGTGAAATTAAGAAATTAAAAATGTTAGGAATTCTGTTCTTTTGAAGGATACATTTTAAAAGCCAAACTCTGCATTCTGATTTGCATGAGGGCCTCTGCAGAGTATACTGTCTGGACTCATAAAATACCAGAAGCTTCACCTAAGGTCAGACGCTCAGAGTACCTGCTGCTGAGTGCTAAAAAGGTACCTGGCTGTTGAGCTTTCTTTTAGGAACCCTGCCAACATCAGGGCTGGTATGGGTCTGCTGTGGGACAAAAGGAGGAGAACCATGAAGGGCACACATCAGTCTGTGTGCTCTCCTTGACCTCACTGCGCCCAGCTGCTCTTTGAATGCTGCACCAGTGAATTGAGGGAAGCTTTGTGTTCTCCTTCTTCCCTCATATCAACGTGGGAAAAAGCTATGTCACACTAGCCTGAAAGAGGGGAAATCTAAACTGAATGAGAGGAGGTTTAAGTTAAATATTTTGATTTTTTTTTTTTTTTATGTGAGGGTGGTCAGGCACTGAAACAAGTTGTCAGGAGAAGCTTTGTGTGTCCCATCCCTGAAAGTGTTCAAGGCCAGGTTGAGCGGGGCTCTGAGCAATCTGACCTAGTGAAAGGTGTCCCTGTCAATGGCAGTGGGATTGGAAGTAAATGGCCCCTTCAAACCCAAACTATACTTTGAGTTCATGCTGCTGCAAGCATAGTTCGTTCATCCCAGAGCTCAGTTCTTCCCCAGAAGACAAAGCCTGCCTGCTCAGACTGTGCCAGTGCTGGAGTGTGTGCCCAGGTAGACACAGAGCTGTGCCCTTGTGAAATCATTAGGAATTGCATGGAGATGCAAGACAGTATTCAGGTCATTCAGATGTTGTTTTTCAGCGAAAGTCTGCATTCTCACTTCTAATCTCATTTACAAGCTGATGCTACCCTCTAGATAGTAGGAAACTAAGGAGGTGTAGATTTCATACCTCAATAGGGACAGATAACCTTTTACTTTGGGGAAGAGGGCTGGTAGGGGAGTAGGTGATTAAAAATACATATGGGGAAGTTAATGGCACAGTAAACATTATATGTTGGCTTTTTATATTCAGCTATTAATGTTTTTGGTTTTGTTTTTAATTTTTGGACACAGGACCTGTGAAGGGCGAAACATCCGGTACAGGACGTGCAGCAATGTGGTGAGTGAAGTGCACCTTTGATGTGCTACAATTAATCTCATGTGATAATCATGTCCATATTACTGCAGATAATTTGGTGAAGTGATAGCGAGAATCTTGTAGCTGTCTAAACTGTTTTCATACCCAAACAGAACCCAAAAACATAGGCAAACCTTTGCCAGTTTCTTGAAATGTGGAGAGATTATGGCATAGCCTTATGCTAAAACTGGCTGGAAGGGATTGCATTCACAGCCATCATAAACAGAGAGTCAATGAAACTTCAGGGTTGCTCTTTACAACCTCTCCTGCAGAATCAAGACATCTTGTGTTCCCAGTACGGCTTTGGTAACCAGCTGGTTCACGTTGGGTAGTCTGTCAGGCTGGAGGATTAAGCTGTTAAGAATTGAAGACAAGTTAGTAGAAGATCCGCAATTCTATGATTCTGTATATTTCTGTTCATTTCTGCCCTCACAGAATTTTAATTCTGTTGTGTGTCCTAGAAAAGCAGTTTTACGTAGCCTGTATCAGTGTTTTGGCATTTCCAAAGGCTCTTGCTGTTTTTTTTAATATGTGGCAAATATAGTTTTCAATACAATAAAGTAAGAAACTTCAACTTCTGTCTCAACAAAGTGAAAGTGTGTTTTCACTGCTGAAAATTGAAATAGAGGCTTTCATATGGAAAGTTTTATTGGGTGCCAAGAATAGTAAAGGCTCTCAAGTTACATGGAGAAATGTCAGTTTTACCAGTAAAGATGGAAAATGAAATCAAATGTACACCAGGCCAAGCTTTCTCATGCCTGATAGGGACATATTCAGAAGCCTTTCAATACATGCTTTGTTTAAAAAGTTTAAAAGTTTAACTTTAAAAAAAAGGAATATATTTGCTCATATTTATCTTATCTTTTCTTCAATAGACCACAGTTCATAATGAAAAAAACTGCTTCTATCTGAGCTGTAGTCTCCTATGCAGTAAAATTTCCCTCAGTTCTTTATGAGCTGGGCTTTGATAATCCCTGTGAACCCCTTCCAATGCAGAATATTCTGTAATTCTGTGATTCCTCTGAAATTTTTTCTGATTGTATCATTTGAGTTCCTGAAATACCTCATCAGTCTAGCCTTCACCTTCCTTAGCTGACAGAAACTGGTGTAGTTAATAAAAAGATTTGCTGGCAGATTAGCAGTCCAATTTTCCTCTGAGGAATTTCAGCTACACTACATCTGTGTAAGGAATGGGAAGTTTGATTTTTGCTAGTCAAGTTGCAGGCCATAGCTCTGCCCTATGACACACACAAAAAAAAAAAAAAAAAAAAAGGAAAAAAAGAAAAAAGGAAAGAAACAAAGAGATACTGCTAAAGGCTAATTAAAAAAATAATTGGACGACAGTGAACCCCATTTGTTTTGCTTTGGTTAGGCATTGCATGCACATTGGGTCTTTCTGTGTCTGATCTGCCCTTGTGTATGTTAAGAGCAGTGAGACAGAGTACATCCTGCTCTCCTGCCATTATGTTCCTGGATCACTCTGATGAAAGGCTGGGGCTTTAGCTGGGTTGTAACCCTTGTTTTGGAATCACTGAGTTTCCAGGATAAGGAATATTTCTTTAGATTTATTTTCGGCTTGGGTTCTGCTTTGCAAATGTGCACCTGAACAGTTTTCCTTCAAAATAAAACCTTGCATAGTTTTGTCAGGCAGTTCCTTTACATATCTTTTATTTGGCAATACTGACTCTAGAAGTGAGGCATACAGCTGCAGAACTCCATTATTTCTTACCAAATAATCCAAAATGAAGCCTTCAAGCCTTCAGCTTTACTGTGCTGAAGTCAGTGGCAGGTTTTCCTCTGAAATATGAAGACCCAGGGCTGGTTTTATGATTTCATACTGTTTTTGGGGGGACTGTAAAGATTGGCTTGTGCAGTGTAAATCTAAAGCTATTTAGGAACCCCAGACTTGCATCTCTAAATCCATTCTGTTACTGAATTGTGCAGCTATAATCGTGAAATATGCTTTGTCTCTTTCAGAATAGTAAAACAAAAGATTAAATCATGTACTTTGTCATTATTGAAGTCTACTTTTTTGTCTCCGCACACACACACAAATTGAAACTACATACACAATTTTTTTCTGCATACACACAAATTAGATCTTGAAAACAGTGCATTAATCTCATAGCTTAATGAAGCTTGTGAAATTCTGCACTAGAAAAAGTCTGCAGTATTGTGTGTATTTTTGTTTACTCAGATTTTGCCTTTCAAGATTTCATCCAAAAAGACACTGAAAATTAAGAAAATGGAAATTACAGGCTCATGAGACCTATGTTTTCATCTGTTACATTTCAGTCTTTGAAGGCAAAAGAGATCAAATCCCCCCATTCGAAGCTTTCATTACAGTTATCTTGTGCATAGCTTGAGGAATGATAAAATAACCACTATTTTATCTCATAAAATAACCAGTATTTTTGTTTTTTGCAAGCTGCCTTTCTGTGAACTGATGTGTTTTTTTAATGAGCCTCCTCTTGCAGGAAAGAATGGGTAGTCATATATACTAAAAGCAAATTATTTGAAATATGAAGTTGGAGAATTGGAAGAATAGTTTTGGAGTCTGGCAATGAATACATTTTATAGGCACTATCATTTGCAAGATTTTGTTACAGCTGGTTTTAATTCATCCTGAAATTAAATTACAGAAGGGGAAAAAATGAGATAAAGAAAAAGAGAGGCAAGGGGGAAAATGGCATGCCTGTTGTCCCATTTACCTATATTAATTATTCCAGAGATGCTGAATAATTTCGCATAATAAAGACTGTAGCAAAGACTGATACTGCTGTCTATGAAGCTTCTGAACAGTCCTTGAAACAGTAAATCCAGTTCAGTATATTTGCCACTTGCATTGTCTGTTGATGATCAGAAACTGGAAGGATTATGGGTATAAAGCCACATGTGTAAATAGTAAAAGAAGGAATGAGAGAATCTGAAGATGATTTAGGGTTGAATTGCATTTGCTTTTTTTCTTTTTTTTTATTCACATGGACTTAAGCATATTTCCAGCCATTTTGGAATATAATCATGGGAGGGAGGGAGGGAGCAATTTGTTTTTCTTTAGAAAATCAGTCTCAATGCAGTGAAAACGTGTTTTTGCAACTATCGGGGTTGCTGTACTGAACATTATGCAAAATAAACAAATATAATTCCAAACTCTGAGTAGGATTTTTTCACTTATTCTCTTTCCTTTTTTGTTTTTCTTAAGATAGCACACTCTTTTTTTCCTTCTTCTATGACATTATTGGTTGCCAGGTGCTCTCCAGCTTTTATACCAAGCTGTCACTCCACCTCATATGTCCTTTCTCTTTTATAGTCCTTCTGCCACTCTGCTGTCTTCTGCTTTCTCTTCCTTTCATTTACATGAAAATCGCTCTGAAGGTTGTTTGTTGGAATATATACTGTCTTTACTGTATTTCTCAATTTTCAGAATTCTTCTTGTGACTGAAAACATTTTTATTTTCCCTGATAGTTTTTCTTTCATTGCACTGCTTTCTGAATTAAAAAAAAAAAGGAGAGAAAGAAAAAGAAAGAAAAGATGAGACTGAAACTGAAGCTGCACAACATTCGTAGCTCCTTCAACAAGGTTTCTCTTAAGCCTAAGATAAAATTTGTAGATTGTAGATCCCATTAGTCAGGCAACCAAAGCTTGTAAACACCACCTGCAACTGTTTCAATATATACCTCACTTTCTTCACTTGGCTGAAGTACCAGCTGTAATGTCATCCCCCATTTTCTGGCTTGCATTCAGACAAGCTGCTTCCATTCCTGTTTCTTATCAGCTCATGCTGCATTTTGTATACACCAGTACCAGTGTTGTTCATCTTACTTTCTGCAAAATAACACAATCTTCTTTCCATGCTCTAAACCCCAGCCTGGAAAATGTCAAACCTAAACTTCCATATAAGTACATAGTTCTCAGAAGCACTGGCTTATGTGTATGAGAAGTATCATCCCCAAGAGGATATTACCAGACCTACAAGAATGATTAGCAGAGTTTAATTTTTCTACTCAGTGGTGACTGAAATGCCATTTTGCAATCAAGCCTCCCAATTTACATTTTGCAGTAAAATATAAAAAACATATTAAACAAATTATAGGCACATATCTCCTTACTAACACACAATTTGTTTTATGTAAATTTACTTCTGAATTGAAAATTCTTCTAAACTCAGATAATTTATTGTGACTACAGTCTGTTCTTCAAACTACCGGATTTTAATAACTTTCATCTTATTTCTGATTGGCTGCATTATAAAACCTCAATGTGTCATCTAGAAATTATTTCTTCATACTTGGAAACAAGTGCTTTTAGTATCTAGCAAATGACAGAAGCTTGGATGTCTGGATTTGCAATCTTTTCAGCAAGCAGGACTGTGAATCTGTGACAATTAAAAAATAGAACAAAAAACCCCACATTGTGTCCAGTTAACGTGAATGTAAAAAGAAACTTTGTTGCCCAAATAACCTGAATTGCTTCCCTTACAATATTATTTCAGGACTCTGGGTAAATAAGAGTTTTAAATTCAGTATTTTTGACAATTTCTTTTTTTTTAATTTGAACTGCTCATTTTTGAGCTCTTTGATAATATGGCACCCTCAATGCCTTTAGGAAAGTATGCTTGAATATTATGTATTTATATTAGTTTTTGGCTGAAGTTCTTGGAAGTTTTCATGCTGAAATTAAACTTACTGTATCTAATCTAAATGCTTGTTGTAATACTTAAAAGAGATGGATGAAAAAAAGAAATTAAAATTACACAGAAGGCTGCATATTGAACTATTTGCCAAAATGGGATCATACTTCCAAAAAAAGACATTATTTTGGTGAAAAAAATATTTTATAAATATTCATAATGACAAATTTTAATGGAACTTTGCATTTATAGTTCACTGACAATTTTAGCTCTCATCTCCATGACATGTTTATTTGCTGATATTTCCCCATTTTCTTTGTTCCTGTTATTTTTCTCAAGCTTGTCTCTGTC